CAGGGAGTTGTTGTTAGGAGTGGATGAGATGGAAAGTATTTATGAAAATGAGGACATTTAATTTGAGAAGTGTAATAATAGCAGTAAATACCATATGCTACTACTAATAAACCAATTGCTATCACTCACTGTGGTGAAAGTTTATTGACATTAGCACTTGCCTCAACTCCGGGACAAGAACTAAATTTTAAACTAGTATTTATTTCTAATTCTTTGAATATGTTCATATTATAATTTTATACCTTTTTTATCTCCTTGTTATGAGGATATTAGATACAATTATAATTTTAGGATTTTTAAGCAGAAATAGTTCGGTCAAAAATATAGGGGGTCAATTTTGCCCTTCTTTTTAAATCAGTAATAGTTTCTCAATAAACTTCTTTATTGTAATAGAGTTTCAAAAGGCAAGAATCACAGATTTGTTTATCTTTTTGGCGTTCCTTTTTATCTTTTCAGAAGTCAGGGTCTTTGGCAATTGGATTAGTTCAGTATTCCCAATTATTTTTCTTTGAATAAGACTTGTTAGGAACTACGTATTTAATGTAAAATTCCTTGACGCACTGAAAACATTTGGCTTTTTTCGGTTGCGGGAAGCCATTGTGGGAAAGATCAGAATAAATTCCTCTCTTTTTAGAAAACTCGGAGTAAACTCCTTGCTTTTCACTAACTGATTGAGATTTAAGCAATTTTTTGGGCATTAGATATGATAAATTTTAGTAGTGAAAGAGAATGAGAGAAAATACTAACGGCAACTTGGTTTTTTAGTGAAAGGTGGGGAATATTTAACTGGGGAATGAAATTGGTGGTAGAATTAAGGGGAAGTTGGGTTAAAGTCAAAAGTATTTAGCAAGATTTTTGCATTAAAATTAAACAGAAAGGGTCTTTTTTTGAGATATTGGTGGGGGTTATAAGGATTATTAAGAAATTATTTTTAGTTATCAATCTATATCTATCTTTGTCAAACTATTTACTTTTACGCTATATTTATAATTCTTAATTAGTTAGTAGTAATCTAAGCACTACACCTACTTGGTTATTATATTTAATCATTTATTCTTTCAGGAAGTTCAATACTTCGGTCTTTTTTCATCTTTTTAGTCTCTTTTCTTTTTTGTTCATAGAAAAAACAAGCATGCGATAAAATTTTGCTGTTAAGAAGAGGAAACTTAGTTAGTAGTTTTTTAGTTATTGTTTTTGGGAAGAATTTCTATTAGTGTTTCTAGTTTCTGTGAGCCGTTCTTTGAAGTAGAAAATTCGTTTTGAGGAGAGGTGAATTGAGTTTCATGCTGTTCTTCTATTGTTGCTTGATTATTAGAACTAGTAACTGATTCACTGTCACTGACTTCTATTTGGTCTTCATGGTAAATTTTATGTTGATAATTACTCAATTTACGCTTTAATTTAGTTATTTCTTCATTGATTTTATACTTTTTTCAGTTATCCCACAGTTCCTTTGCAAACTGTTTAAACATTTCTTTTCTTGCTCCTTGCTCAGCAGTAGAGAAATTAGCATTATAGGCGGTTATATTCTTAGGTAGATTGCTAGTTGCATTCAAAAGTTCAAGAAAAGCCTTGTTCACTTCTTGGCAGGCGGTAGGAGTTTTGCTTAGCATGTTCAAATCTTGAAAAATTATTTTTAATGCTTCTTGATAATCGCTTTTCAAGTCTTCTGTCTCTGCAACAAATTCCTGAATAATCTCAGAGTTCACATTCTCTTCTAATTCTGCCTTTTTATTTTGTAGTTGCTTTTTCTTTCATTCACTAAATCTGTCCAAGCATAATCCTAACACTGCTATCGAGCCACCTAAGTAAGGGTTATCAGATATCGCAAAAGCCATAATTCCACCAGTAACTTCTGCCGAAAATCCAACTCAACGTGAATAAGTATAGCAACTAATTAATCTTTCAGTGCCAACTAACTTCTCATTGTTAATAATATCGCTTCATCGAAAAAAATAATCTTCCATATTTTTTTGAACATTTACCAACTCATCCAAAAAAAAGATTATTTCAATAACTTCCTTGTTAACTCTTTTTCAATCACTAATGCTATATCCGTTAGTTTCGAAGCAAAAAGATAGAAGTGCTTCTTCTATCGCTTTTACTTTACTTTCAGGTCTTTCTTCACTTGAGCAAACAAATCCTCAACAAAATGAATTACTTGGTAAATGTTCTAGACCACTGTCAATATCTGTATTACTAATATCAAGGCATTCTAACTTATCAAAACGTTTCAAATACTTTAATGAACCATAAAATTTATTATAAGTTCCTTTTTTGATTCTTTTCTCATCACTATTTCCTACTTCTAGTCACTTTAAATTGTTTTCATAATTAAATGCTCTCTCTAAAAACGACAAATTACGTTTGGGAAAATTGTTATCATTTAACTTTAATTCTTTTAGATTACTAGAGTATTTGGGAAGCATAATTTCTTCAAGCATGTTTTCCGAACACCAAATTTCAATAAGTTCTGAGCAATCACTTAGATCAATCTTTGTTAGATTGGTGCCTCAGCAATGAAAATTAGTAAGTTTGGAGAAATCGCTTAAATCTAAAGAACCTCAAAGAAAACTCATTTCCTCAATATTTAACTTTTTAATCTTTCACCTTGTTTCTTTGGGATACTCTTTGTTCAGTCATTCTTGACCATTTACTTTTCTTTCAGCCGTTTTATCAGTAATGTTTCAAATCTCTGAATCCAATTTTTCCTTAAAATTAGTTCCAAACGCAAATCATATGACACTTTTAGGTAAATGTTCTAGACCCGTACACACATTAGTGCCACTAATATCCAAACTCTCTAAACTATTTAGACTTTCTAAAAATTTTAAAGAACCATAGAAGTTATTGCTCACTTTTTTCTCAGTATTACTTATACCCAAACTTTTTAAATTTGTAAACCTCTTGAAAATAGACAAATCATCAGAAGGGAAATTATTGTCTGACAAGTCTAAATTTTCTAAATTTTTAGCATTAAGAAAAGAGAAAGAATATAAATTATTAAGAGAATTGTTTTGGCAATAGATGCTGGTGATTGCGGGACAGTCAGTGATTTCTAGTTTAGCAAGTTTGTTTTCCATGCATCACAATTCTTTTAAATCATTACATTTATGTAATTTTAACTCTCTTAACTTATTGTCACGACAATTAATTTCTCTGAGTTTTGGACAGTTAGCAATATTTAGGCTAATGATTTCATTAAAACAACAGTTGAATTTCTCTAAATTTGCAAATCTACTCAAACTTAAAAAGCCTTTTAATTTTTCTGAGTCATTTTTCTTATAATCAAAAAAGCTTATACATAATTCCTTAATTTCATCTCTTTTTTCTTCGGGGTAGTTTTGATCTAAATATTCTTGAGCATTTACTGCAAGTTTTTTTTGTTCTTTTGCTTCGCTAGATAATGAACACTCACTAATAATCTCTTTTTTCTTACTAGTGTATTTCCCTTCTTCCTCTGCTTTAAATCTAAAAGAGGGAATGGATGGAGTTTTTTCAGTTTTAGTTCTTGACTGTTGAAAGTTACTTGAGGAAGAAAGAGAAAAAGTAAAATCTGTCTGTGCAGGAATAAACTCAATAGAACTTTCATCGACTGAGTCTTTTTCGTAGACTTTAGAAAAATTTTCTAAATGTTTACTGTATTGCTTTCGTAAAACTAGATCATCATGTTCTGAAGTTCGCTTAGAGTCAAATTGCAATTCGTCTCTTAACCACTTGGCGTAACTGGCATCTTTCGCCTTTAGACTAACACCTAACCACTCTTTCACTTGCTCATAACTAAATCCTTTTTCTTCTCACTCTTTTTGTAATTCTTCGGTAAATTCTACGCTTATGTTTTTCCAGACTTTTTTAGTGGTATTTGTATTTTGTTCCATTTTTCACTATTTCTTTTTATGAATTCTCGCAAAAATAAAGATTAAAAGTAAAGCAAGTAAGCCTATTATTCCACACCCAACAGCAAGAGCGGTTTTATCACTAGATTTAGAGCTATCGCTAGTACTGGAACCATCCTGTTTTCTCAATAATTCCGCTAACTCTTTCTTTTTACTAGTTAAAAGTGCTTCTTCAACTTGAGTTCGATTAGATTTGTTCTCTAAATCTTTAATTTCTCTTGCTAAAATAGTAATTTGAGTAGTTAGTGGTAATTGTTGGTCTAATTGTTTTTGTTTATTCTCTAATTCTGCTAGTTTCTTTTTTTTAGACTCTAATTCAGCTTGATTTTGGTTCGGATTAGTTTCTAATTGCATGATTTCAGTGTGAAGTTGCTGTTGTTGAGACTGGATTTGCTCTCTCTCTCTCTCTCTCTCTCTCTCTCTCTCTAGTGTTGTTGTTATCATTTGAGTTATTACCTTTCTTATTCTCTATAGCCTTATTCATTTTGGCTAAGCATTCTTGTTTATCACAAACATCAAAAAGTTCTGTTTTAGCGGAACAATAACGACAATAGACAGTTCCCAAATCATTGTTACAACTATCTTTTAACTCTTTGGCTTTTTTTCTTTTTTCTGCTTCTTCCTTTCTTACTTCAGCCTCATGTCTTCATTTACAAGTAGAACAATAACTTTGATAACTCTTAAATAACTTTGCGGAACATTCTTGACAATTTTCTACATAATAACCATAGTAAATGCCAAAACAATTATCCGAGCAAAGGGTTTTTCCGTCATTTTTTTCCTTATGAGTATATCCTCCTGATTTTTTAGTTACTCCACATTGATCACACACATACTCACTCTTTTTCTCATTACAGTCTGAACAAATCTTACCAGTTTTATTTTTAGCATCATTATAGTATCAAAGACTGTCTATTGGTCGTCAATCATTACTTTTTTGGTTAGGATTGCTTCACTTTCTTCGATATTTAAGACACTGCTTCTGGCAAATATCACAAAGTGGAGCATAAAAAACATTTAGACATTCTTGCGAGCAAAAATATTTTCCATCATTTTCTTTTTTCCTGTGTCAATAGCCTTTACCTTTTTGGCATTGTTGACAAGTGGGAGCATAATAATTATCTAAGCATTTTTCTGAGCAGAAATAATTGCCGTCATTTTTATCTGTTTTATGCCAACTTCATCCTTTCCGGTATTTCCAGCATTCATGACAAGGTGCTGTATGTTCTTTGCAATGCTTTTCAGAACAAAACACCAACTCTCCTTCGCCCGCTTTTCTAGATGTCGATACTCGGCTTGTTGTTTTTGATTTCTCATCATATATGAAGTGAAAAAATTGACTTATTTTTCCACAAAATTCTCTTTCGCACTTGTCGCGATTATTTTGATTTGACATAGCATTATTACTATATTTATAGTTTTATACAATTTTCAACATTGAACTAAGTAAAAAGTGTTTTTTTTCTTCTGAGTTAATATTGCTTTTTGAAGTTTACAAATTTATCATTTAATTGAGATATTCGTTCTCGATCATTTGTTACATTTTTAAAAAGAGTGTCAATATTTTCCTTATCAACATAGTGTAAGTAAAAAGACAATGCTAACAAAAGCAGAATAATAATTGTTGAGAGTCGCATATTTAATATTTTTTATAAAAAAATGTTTAGTAAAGGGCAAGGGCAATAAAAAAGGCAAATTATGCTAGTTTTGAGGATAGTATTACTTTAAACAAAATGGCTACTGACATAACTTCCCAATATTTTTCTCTTCCTTAAGTCCTTAATAGTTTCTAGATAATTTGTTTTATCATTAAGATAAAGGCTTCGCAAACAAGAATTACAAATCTTTTTATCTTTATCCTTTTTTTGGTTAGTCCAGTAGTTCCAATTATTTTTTAAACTATAATTTTGTTGCGGAACCACAAACTTAATTCAGAAATGTTTTTCACATTTGAAGCATCTTGCTCTTACTGGGTCAGGAAAGCCATTTTTGCCTTCTAAATCTCGCTGTTGCCTAATTTTTTCTTCCATTTATTAATTTTTTTCCTTTTCCTTAATAAAAGTGAAATAAATCACTAAGAATATTATGGCTCCAATCATTAACTTGGTATTATAATCAAGTTCAATATTAGCTAAGCCTGTTCCGCCGGTTATTGTTTTCCCTGATTGCTTGATTAGACCATTTATCTTATCGTCATAACCATTTATTTCTTTTTTTAGCTTGTCTATTTGTGAGACAAAACTGGTTATTTCACTTCTAATTTGAGCTTTTTCATGCTCCGGAGTGTTAGGGTCATTTAGTTTATTTTGCTTTTGAGCTAAATGCTGTTCTAGTGTATTTAGTTGACTAGCTTTTTGATTTCTTTCATCTTGGAGATTATTAATTTCATCTCTAATTTGTTTGGTTATTTCACCTTTGAGATTTAGTTGCTTATTTTCATTTTCTCTTTTTTTTCTATCATCATCTATTGCTGACCCTACTAAATAGACACCACCAATAGCAGCTGCTTGAACTACTAAGGAAGTGCCGCCAGTAGCAATGCCTACTGCTACGGTAGCAACAATTGTTGTGGTATTTTCTTTAATTCAATTTCAGAGTGACATAATTTTTATTTCTTATTTATTTTGTTAGTATTTTTTTTCATGTTTATTTGGTTTTTAATTGCTTGTAATTGTTGGGTTAGGGTTGATAAAGTGCTTTCATGAGTGCTTATTTGTTGTTTTCAAGATTCAATCTTTTCTTGGATTTCTTTTATTTTTTTTTCTATTTGTTTAATTAGTTGTTGGTCTTTCATATTGTTTTATCTGCTTTTGTGAACTTCTTGAGCCAAAGCAGCTAACTGACTGCGTAATTGTATAATTTCAGCTTGAACACCACTGTTTTGACCAGACATTGATATTTGAACTTGCTGTTTTAGTTCTTGCATTCTTTGGTTTAAAATTTCTAAAGAAGTAATTAAAGCATTAGAAGATTTAGCTAACACATTAGCCATTTCAGCTAAGTTAGGTAAATTATCATCCAATACTTCAGCTTCTTTAGGTATGCGGGGCGATTCAAAATCTCCATCATAACTAGCTAATTGTCCACTTTCTTTTTTTTGCCAAAAGAATTGTAAAAATTCTCCTACTTCAATTTCGGTTTCTTCTGTTTCAAATGTCGAACTTCCGTTTTCGTCTTTTGTTTCGATTTCTTCCTCTAGCATGGCATCAGGGTTTTTGGTGATAAATAGCTCTCAAAACTTTGCTCGGCTAGGCTTTTCTGGATCATGTCCGAGAAAGTCGGATATGAAAGAAAATTTGTTGAATTTATTCACTCATTTGTTATCTTCTTCATTTAAGCCAGCCGTATCTTGCCAACGATCAGGAAGCGAGGGAATATTAAAGCCACTTGGTAGTTTATATTTGGTTGGATTTCTTTTAGCATCATCAAAATATTTTTTGAATTCATCCCAAGTTCAACTAAAATCTAAGGGATTACTTAGTCTTCCTTCCCGATAGGTTGCATTTTCGACATCTTTTAAATGATTAGTGGCAAATATTCAGAGATTTTGGGTTTCCTCTTTTCGGCTAGATTCGCTGCCCTCTAAAAGTTCTTTCAAAAATCTTAGTTTATTGGGGTCATGAATTAGTGAATTATTACTGATTTGGTCGCATTCATCGACAAAAAGAATATACCGAACCTCGCCGTTAGCCTCTCTTTCCATTCCATAGACTTTAATCAAGTTTCACTCTAATTCACTAATCGTATAAACAAATTTCTGCAAAGGAGCAATGCCGGCATCATAATCTTGCTTAGTAGGGGTTAAGGAGGAACCTTTAACTATTACCAAAGGGCATTCATCAGCCTCAATACAAATCTTTTTCACAGTAGCTGATTTGCCGGTTCCGGGTGCTCCGAAGAAAATAGCATTATTATCTTTTTTAGTAGCTGGGTTGGGATTGCCTCTTCAAGGTGGAATTTCTCGCATTACTTGATTATATCAGTTTTCAATTTCACTAGACCAAATTAAATCTTCATTTTTGTCTAATAGGTAACAGTTTTTTTTATTTTTTTCTTTCCCTAATTCAAAAAAATCTTTCATAGAAGGTGGGAAGTGAATATCATAAGTAGCAGCTCGGGAAAAGTGAAAATCTTCGTGTTTATCTCCGTCAGGAAATAATTTGGCATCTTGATTGTAACGACCAACTAGAACATTAGAAATTTTTCTTATTTCATTATCAGCTCAACTTTTGGCAGGTAGTTTTCAAATAGCTCCTTTTAAAAACATGTGATCTTCTAGTTCTTTTTGTAGTTGCTCCGGAGTTTTTTGATGTTCTTGTAACCATTTCACAGCTTCATTAAATTCAACCTGTTTATTGGCAAAAGCTCTTTTTTGAAATTCATTGCCATTGGCTCATTGTTGATAAGTTTGCAAATCAGTTAGCATTTCAGCAACATCATCAGGTTGAGCATTTTTTATTCGGTCAATCTCCGCCTGTAGTTTAACTTCTAACTGCTTAATTTCTTCTTCTGGTAAATAAATCATGAAGTAATAATAAGCGGCTCCTACTAGTAGCAAAATCCCCAATAAAGATTGCTGCTTTGTTTTCTTACTAATTTTTGTTTCTGTTCTCTTCGGTGAATCGAAATCAAAGTATTTATCAGTGTTATACATAGCAGATTATTCTTTCAATCTTTTAAAAAAAGCCATTTGCTTCAGCAGTCTTTCTTCAATTTCCCTTTCTTTTTGCTCTTCTCGTTTAGTGATTAATGGTTTATCCGGTTTAGTGAGATGGTAAACAGAGAAAAGTAGGAAAAGAATAAGAGCAATTATTAATAATCCTCTTTGTCAAGTTTCTAAATTAGTGTAATAGGGAGTGATTACTGCTTCTAGTTGTTCAGTAGTTGCACCGAGTTTGTTTTTTAGGTCGTTAGTCATAAGTTTCCTCTTTTTGGGAATAGAGATAAAAGATTACTAGTAGAGCAAGGCCAGCAAAAATAATTAGTTGTTGTTGGCTATCGGTTTGCTGATTGTTAGAATTAGAACCACCTCCTCAGGGAGTTCAAGGGGTTTGTCCGCCACTTCCATCCGGATTATTTCCTCCGCTAGGATTTCCCTCTGGATCAGTTGGATTTGAATCAGGATTATTTCTTGGCACGGTTGGGGGCTTAGATGGAAGATTACCACCAAAAAGTCTTCCCATGTCTTTGATATAACTATATTGGGCTAATTTAGATAGAGGATTTTTGGCAAGTCTGGCTTTAGCTTGTTTAATTGTTCGTTCAGCTGCTTGAGCAGTGGCAATAAATTGAGCTTTTTTGGCCGGATCAGTTTCGTTAGCAGCTTTAGTCATAGCATCATTGCGTTCAGCTTCTGCTTTTCTAATTTCTGCTTCTATCTCAATGATATCCCTTTGATGGATAGGACCAATTGCTCGTAATTTATTAAGTTCATCCTGTAATTTTTGTTTTAATTGGTCGGTAAACGGACCGACAAAACTACCAAAATAATCATTTCAAATACAACAAACATTCCCTATTGAGCAAGAACTTGATATTTGACACTTATTAATACAGTCCTGAATTTTATTAACTAAGGATTGCTTTTTTTGGTTAAATTCTTGTTCATTAATTGCTAGGGTTAATTCTTGGGCATCACTTTCGGTGCTAACCACATTATTGGCTCATTGAGCTAAAGTCTGACAATCTTCCATTAAATTGTGATTACCTCCTCAATTACATCTTCCTTCGGTTCAATAAGTAGCATCGCCACTAGCTTTATCACCAGCTTGCCGACGAGCCGCAGCGTTAACTCAAAACCTACTTTTAATGTCTTGGGCATTAGTGAAATTAGTTAGCGAACCTAAGCCGCTAGATCCACTTCCGCTACCGCCACCTGTCTTTTTTGGCTGGACAATATTATGTCTATTTGGTTTTTTTCTTCCCATAATTTCTTATTTCTTAAAATTTCTTGCTGTTAAATTCTCTTTCTAAGGTTTTTGCGTCATATT